TGAGAAGCCTCGTTGATACGTTTTGTCTTTTTCACGAGCTTGCTGCGATATATACAAATCGGGTTGGTCCGGTCCAAGGTCTTTAAGCAACAGTTTATCTCCCGAACCTTTCCTTTCGAAAGGATTGGAGAGTAGCTCTTGCACGGAATTGGGTGCGGACCGAGGTCCGGCGACTCCACCTGCACACCATTCTCATCCAACTACTGCGTCACTCACGAGTCTAAAAAACAACTCACGTCAACGCACGTAAGCAACGTGGGCGCCAACGTGGGCGCCAACGTGGGCGCCAACGTGAGCGTCCTCGTGACCAAAATATTTGACGGCGCTGATTGGCTGAAATTATGTTTCGGCGGCACAGTTTACTATTGAGACTTTTGCAACGTGCTGGTTGCTGCTGTTTGGCTCGGGGGCTCCTTGCACGGCGCCCGGTAATGATAAACTAATGCAAGGCCAGGCAGGAAACATGTGACTTATCAGTAACTTTAGACATCGTAACACAATTTTAAACGAGATTTTATTGTAGATTATACATTTTACTGATACCAATTGTATGATATTTACCTTGTTCATTAAAAATAAAAATATATATTTTTTTATTTAATATTTTTTAAAATATTTTTTTTTGTATGTGGGAAGAGGTGGGGCGGCGCCCCTATCGCTCCTATGGGCCGGCCGCCACTGATAATGGAGTATGGCTCACAAATTAAACTTGTGCTTGTCTTGTATTGTACTAAATATAGATGAAAACAGATATTACACAGTATTCATGTGTTAAGAAGCCAATTTTTTCAAAGAAATGCAGTCTTTTTCAAATCTAAGCTGATAAGAAGAAAGCCCAATAACTTATTTTCATAAAACGCTTGAAATAAACCCTTCATATTTCCTCTTATAAGCAAACTGTGGCTCCTGCTTTAAAGAATGAGCTGCTAATGAAATAAATGAAACGCTATAGAGAGCTGTTGTCTTTCTTAAAGCACATTCAAGTATCAAACATCATTTACCTACATTTGATTAATTTTGCTAACTTATGAGGCAATATATCCGTGGCCCAGCCCTTCCTATATTTTTCTGTATGTGGCCCTCGGTGAAAAGGTTTGGACACCCATTGGTCTACAGCATGCACCGCTGTATTTCTGCTGAGATAGTTGGAGATGTTTCTACATTTTGAGTGGGTGAACATAAAGCCCTGAGCTCTCCTGTAGCTAACAGTGAGCTCAGTGTGAGCAACGCTGCGGTGTTGGTTGTCAGATCCATGAGTCGGGCACAAAGCGCCCTTTATGTGTGTGAGGGTTCACCCTGTGACTCAGGAGCTGTGTGTGTGTGTGTGTGTGTGTGTGTGTGTGTGTGTGTGTGTGCATGCGTGCATGTGTGTGTGTGTGTGTAGCCCCAGGGGAGGGTCTGTGAGGTGAGCTCTGTTACACCGCACAAAAGAAACACCTTCCCTCCAGAGCAGAGAGTCCCTCCGCTGCCAGGAAATGAGTGAAAATATGCTCTCTGCAGGATTACCTCATACTCTCTGAATCTTTAGTTACTGACACTCTGTCCCCTTCCTGGTGTAAATAAAATGAACCCAGAGTTTTTCAGTTATCAAGAAAGCCATTTTTTGTGTCATTTTGTAATCGTTTGTAGTCATTTTCTTGTCATTTGCCCCCCCTGATCAGACTTGCTCCCACTTCGCCTGTTTTAAATATCGTTTAAAAACCTACTTGTTCTCCCGTGCTTTTGCAGACCACGTATAAGACGTATCAGTCTGTGTTGGGGTTTTCTAAATTGTTGCGTTTTAAAATGTTTTTACATCGTGTATGAGAGTTTTTCAGTCTGTGGCTACAAGTATGGTTTTATTGTCTCGTGCTTTTACATTAGTTTTGTCTAAATGTATTTATCCAGCTTTTTTAAATATGTATTGATGTACAGCACTTTGGTTTGAAATGTGCTGTATCAATAAAGTTGCATTAGAGGTATTTTGTGTTTTTTGGGTGATATTGGGTCTCTTTGTGTATGTGTTGTTTCTTTATATAGTCATTGTGTCTATTTGTAGTAATTTTTTGTCTTAATGGGCATTTCGTGTCTATTTGTGTCTCTTCCTGATCGTGTCATGTTTTTATTTAGTCATTTTGTCTCTCTTTTGGTCATTTAATTTGTGTATGCTTGTGTTGTGTCTTTTTATGTTCAATTTGTGTTGCTTTGGGTCATTCTGTTGTCTCTGTGCTCATTTAGGGCATTCTGTGTATCCTTTTGGTCAGTTGTGTGTCTTAATCTAGTCATGTTGTGTCTTTGTGGAGTGTTTCTGACTCAGAAGATTCAATCAAGTTGAGCGAATGTTTTCAATAACGATGAGTCATCTATTTAACAACCTTTGTACTGTCGAATAAGTTGCACACATCTGAAGGTTTCTTCCAAAACATTCTCTAATTCAAACCATTTCTGCATCTCAAAATAAAGGGTTTTGTTGGCCTTTTGTTATTTTCAGAGGTTCATTACATTACATGTTAGACGCTTTTATCAGAATCAGAAACAGGTTTATTTCCAGGTAGGTTCGCACATACTAGGAATTTGACTTGATGTCATGGCGCATACATAAATATAAAAAACAAGAAATCAAATATAAAACAAAAAATATTTTACACCGTAATAAAATATAGTTAAATAGCAATAAAAATAAAGCAGTAATTTACATGGAAATAGAATGCTATGAATGTATTTTAGAATGTAAACTATGAAATGTGAAATAAGAATATGAATATGTGCAGTAAGCAGTATGAACATTGTGTGCATTAATGGGATGATGTGGGGGAGGTAAGTGTCAGTGGGGGGGCTTTAAGAGAACGAGAAAGAAGAAACTGTTCAGGTGGCGAGAGGTTTTGGTCCTGATGGAGCGCCTCCTGCCAGAGGGGAGGGGGGTGAACAGTTTGTGCAGGGTGGGAGGGGTGGGCCACTATCTTCCCTGCCCGCCTCAGGGTCCAAACTCAATACTGGGGGCAATCCCCACAGGAGCAATTTGGGGTGAAGTGTCTCAGGGACACAACGACATTGACTGCAGCGGGGTTTGAACCTGTGGGGTTGACCCCCTGATCAGAACACCAACGCACTAGTCCACTGCGCCAAACACCTCCTTAGGGTTCATGGTTCACTTTGGTTTGTTTTGTGATATTGTAACTAAAAAGGCTTATCAGTGTTTCCTCTCTGTCTGGTCTTTCCCGGAATGTTTATGTACTGAAGTTATTTACTAAAAGGGTCAGTGCCAAGGGAACTGAGCCACTTTCCCGCTCTCTATCTTCTCAAACCATCGTGTCCTCACATACTCACATTTGTAGTTCAGAAATGTTTTGTTCAAATTGTTTCTGATGGTCATGTTTTTCCATCTTATCGGACCATCAGAGTCCCGGGAGGCTGAGTTACCGGCATGACGGATACAGCGTTGCGTGCACGGCTGTAATTATACATTTGACTATCTGTGGACAACACCGAGACATGTCGATAATGATGCATTGTGGGAGTTGTTGTTGTTGTTCCCAATGAGGGTCTTGAGGTTGTAGATTTTAATTAACAGTTGACCGTGTTGGGAAGCCTCTAGAGACACTAATTGCTACATATAATGAACTTGAAGTGAGTAAGAGTAAAACAGCAACAAAAGAGACAAGCTTATGGAAACACATGGTGATGTAGTGATCTCTGGATGATGGAGGATAGGGAGAATATATACGTGTGATTCAAGTAAGTTGAAGAGATGAGATATGACTTTAAAGAAAAGTTATGGTGCAGTAGAAAGACAACATCCCAAACATGTAGAAAGCAGCTTGTGGGAAAACCACTCTCTCTGGTTGTTGCACTTTCCTCTCCCGACCATTACACTTTGACATTATGTTATGATTGCTTTGGCTCAGTTTCAGTGTTTTGAAACTCATAACGCAGCACAAGTTTCAATGCTTATTTATCATCTATTACTACCACTATTGGATCAACAAAACTCTGCAAAAGCAAAACACTGCAGGAAGCTCAAAACAACGGAAACGGGGATGTTAGGGGATTATAAAGTATGCGTTTTTTCAGCGAATGAGGACTGGAAATATCTCTATTTGATACATTGCTGCATTTTGTCCTGGAAGATTGTTTAAAGATCATGTATTTCATTGGATGTGCTTTACTGCAAACATAATTTAGAAAAGTAATATTTATTAGGGCTGCACGATTTGGGGAAATAATCTAACTGCGATTTTTCTGACAAATATTGCGATTCGAATTGCGATATTTGTTTTTAAGCGACCCAACGGAAGTTTATTGTAAAATGCGGCCATATCTCCGGCTAGGAAGGTCGCATCAACGTGCTCCCGTCTCTAGCACCCCCGCAGCCCGAGCTACGAGTGAAAGAACTAAACTTACATGAGACTTCCGTTGGGTTGCTTTAAAGTCAAGCTTCAGTTTAAGATTCTCCCTGTAATAGAAACATGTGATGGAGCATTACTAACCTGACTCAGATGGTTTCACCAAAGCATCTAAAGCTCCATTGGAAGCCATTTGGAAAGGGCAGGCACTTTCAGAAGCACTTGGCAGGTGATTGGATCAATCTGTCCATTACCTTCTATCATGGGCCACTTCTGATTGGTTAACAATGGCTGGTACATGTGGAGCACAGCACTTCTGATTGGTGGGGATGACTGACACACAAGAAGATGATTATCGTTCAGCCCTAATATTTATGGCACCGTTTTTTCAGTTTCATAATATGTAATTGATACAAATCTGTATCTTATAGATTTCAAATCCCAATTATAGTTTAAATAAGAAATTGTTATTGTTGCCGTTCTAGTTTGATATCTGGAAAAACAACATATGTGAATTTTGAGTGATAGTATTGAAGGTGGAGGGCCAAAGAAATGAATGTGAAACAACGTTGTTATACTAAAACCTTGATATTGGGTGAAAGTAGGTAAAGTATTTAATACGCTATAAAAAAACAATACTTTTGATGTACTAGAAACAGCAAACAAATAGACATTATGTTGCAGTTAGCTACAAAACCACTTTATTGAAAAAGCAGATTATGTCATCTACAGTTAAATGATACGTCCCGATTTTTAATACATTAAATAACTTTAGACTTTTTCCATGTTTAGATAAATAGATCTAGTTTCCTTTTTTTTATGAACCATCTAAAACAAAAAGCAATACAGAAGATGTGACAGATGTGCTTGTTGGAACTACAGCAGGAGAAGAATCTTTTCCAAGTGATGTTTGACAGAAAAATAAACAACTAGCCTCTTTATGTACAGGGTGACTAGCTGAGTGCTATGCAAAATAAACACAAGTAGTACTTTTAAGAATTAAAGGGTTTACACTCTGATCTTGTTACGTTTTCCTCGGGGTTGATATGTGCAGAAAAAATGCCTCGTTCTTCAAGTATAGCACACGTTACTTGACCCTTAAACAACATTGAGGTTAATAAAAAGGGAATGTCTCACATATGCAGTCATTTTTCTTTCCTGCTTTTACAAATATACAACACTAATCATTATTACATTCGTATGAATCTCACTAGAAAGCACTTCCTGCCTTCAGCCTCTGCTTCAGTCTCTGTTTTTCACACATTCAGTAGTATTTATTCAGACCTGCGTGTACAGTCATAATAATAATAATAATAATTAAGAGCCAGTGTTTGCTTTTGATATCTGGTGTGAATCTCAGTCGGTGGCAGTCAGAGGATCATAAACACACCAGCTACTGAGACAAAACACGGTGTAAAGTTCAAACAAACACGGAGAATTACACACAAACATCTGGGAGAAGGTCATGTGTGGGATGCTGCAAGCACTGTGAGTGTGTGTGTGTGTGTGTGCAATGGCCTGCCATAACACACACTCACACTCATACACACTCGTACTGTACATGCACACTTAAGACTTTTGCACATGAAACAAGCAGGTGGGGTTTATCTGCATAAGACTTGCTCAATTTAAGTGAGAGAAGAATAGTTTTCCTCATGAAAAGACATTCCTAAAATGTCTTGAATCTGACATTAATTGCTTCACTATCCATTCAAGAGGAATTAACCGTTGGAGCCAATTCAAAAAACACATATATAGAAACTCTGTGATGACAGTTATGAGTAGCGAGGGATGAGACAGTTTTATTCTCACCAGCACCACCGTAGCTCAGAGTAGGATTGGGCAATATAAAGAAAAATCGATAATATCTTAGACAGAATAATAACAGTTTATATCTTACTATGAACTGTAACTTTCATTCATGTTATTAGGCCTGCCTTTTTAAGCTCGTCTTCTTGACTCTATTAAGACTTGCACTTGGTCTCAATGCTTTCACTAATTATTGCTCAGCACTTTGAATTGCCTTGTTGTTGCAATATGGAAGAGAAACACACTCGCGTGCCCCACCAAATACTTTGATAACAATATAGCGATACTTTTGTAGAGTTGACTATTAGGGCTTCCAGAACATACATTTATTAAATGATATTTTCGAATGTAATCAACAGTAATGTGGACATAATGACTGAATAATGGCAAGATACAAACCATAGGGAAGTTATCACGTTATCCATCCAATCTAAGAACATGTATTACAATATCGATAATCTTTATATATTGCCCAGTCCTAGCTCAGGGTTTCAAGTGTTCACACACACACACACACACACACACACACACACACACACACACACACACACACACACACACACACACACACACACACACACACACACACACACACACACACACACACACACACACACACACACACACACACACACACACACACACACACACACACACACACACACACACACACACACACACACACACACACACCTAAACACGCGGGTGGACCAGCAGCTCCACGTTTCTTTTAAGGGATGTCCTCTCATAAAGTCAACAGCAGACTGCAGGGGAACCAGAGCGACACACACACACACACACGCACACACACACCTGTTCTGTCTTAAGGCATGTGGACAAGTGGAGGTTCCTCGTCTCAGTGTTCATATGACAAAAAAAACAGTGTCTGGAAAAACAAACCAGGAGGCAGTGTCCTGAACACACCTGGAGCAAAAGGGATTTGCAAAAGAATCATTAAAGTATTTGTATTCCTCTTTGAGTACATGGACTGCTTTATTACCAAAAGAGCTGAATCTTTTGACAGTAGGATTGGAAAATACTGCATATTCTAAAAGTATAAATAGAGAATATGTAGTATTTCTAAGTTCAGATCTTCATACATGTTGCCTATTTGTCTCATAAGTGTGTTTTAGTGCTCCGCCACCACAGGCCCTAAATCTCCGCATTTAAAGACCCATTTCTAGCTAAGCTCTCAGATTCTAAGATTAAGCTTAAATCTTAATCTTACAGCTCTGTGTGATAACTTGGCAAAAAAGTGGCCGACCTTGACAGGAGGTCAGAATGAGCAAATCTGAAAAGAAGTCTAATGATAAGTAAATGCATTGTTCCCTTTTTGTGTGTGAGAATAAGTAAAAACATATTGGTTAATTTGGGTCCGTGTGAAGGAGATGCTAACCAGGTGGGACTCTATGTAGAACACTTACTGAGTAATGGCATCAATTGTAATACAACATTGATAAACATCTGTCCAGTTAAATAGTCAGAATAATCCGTTTTAATTCACTTTTTAGTATCTGGCACTTTAGGATATGCACACATGTCTCAATTTAAGTTTGTTAAAGTGGTGTATAGTCATTAAAGTCCAAAACAACAAATATGTCGCCAAAACTAAATATTTGGAACTCAAAGTGGAATAAAAATAATTAAAAAGGCAAATTATTTTTGTGCCACGTCTGCTCCTAAAACCAATGAGTCTGTAAACCCGCTGACAGACATGAGGAGGTGTTGTTTCCTGCAGGAGGAATGAAACAAGAGACCCACAAATCCTCAGACTTCTGGATCTGAATCAGCAACAGAAAGAAAGATGAGAATCTACATCTATGACCTTATGTGGAAAACATCTGCAAAATATATATTCATATATAAAAGACATTCTATGTGCATCTAAAACGTTTCTCTTGCTGTCATAATATAATCATTAATTAAGACACTGCTTGTGAATCTCTCGAGGTCTTCGTGGAATGTCAGTCGTTCCTCCGGGGCTACGTCTGGTGTTTCGAGGCGTTCAGACTGTTTCTCGCGGCCCTGTGTCGTGACGCTGCTTTTTGTCCTTTGCATAAACCAGTAGCAGCACTCCATGTCAGTGTTTGGGGGGGGGGGGGCTGCACTGAAGGCACAGCAATCCCAAACCCACCCTGGGGTCCTTCCTGTCCTCCAGAACGAGAATGTGGCCTCCCGGAAAAAAAAACATTGGAAGGGAGAGACAAGTTTTGCGTCCAATCCCTTTTGATTAATGTTTGGGGGGGGTCACCGGGGGTCTCTGGGTGAGCCGGCAAGTTTTAGGGTTAGGCACCCAAAGGGGAAGGGGAAGGGGGGGGGGGGGAGACCCTTTTTTCCCAGCCCGTCATGTGACAGGAGGACAGACGCTCAGGCGGGCACACTGAGGCGTCCCTGGATCTGCCGTTTCCTGTAGTGTCGGATCACCTGGGAGGCAGAACGGGGTCTCAGTTTGGGATCACCTGGGGTCTCAGTCCTCCTCCCCCTTCCTCCCCCCCCCTCACAGCTCGGTGACGTGCAACGGGTAGCTGGGGGGGGGCTGGTGGGCCGGGGGAGGGGCCTGCAGCCGGTGGATGTGGCAGCCGTGGCACAGCAGGTGGGTTTCAAGAGGGTAGCAGCGGTGCCCCTCCTCGTCGTTCAGCTGCAGACCGCAGTCCTGAGAGGAGGGAGGAAGAGAGAAACACAATCGGTAACTAAACACAGATGAGTGTGGGCTTTGTTAATGCACAAGGGGTACCTTTTATATTTGGGAAGTTTGCTTAGTGGGTTTTTGGCGGTGTGTGAAAACAGGTACTTATCATACAAGTGTCAAACCATTGTAATGATGTATTGCGTTGTGACAGCACAGCCTGGATATACACTAGACTTCCTTTTAAATGACACCTACCTCGAAATCGATAATGGAAGTTGTTGGCCTAGCAGCTACTAAGTTGAATATTATATACTAGGCATTGCAATAAGAACGAGCAATATGTTTGTTTTGGACCACACAATTTCAATCCTCCATTTCCATTTCCACACCAGAGTATAACTACTTAGTCTTCAACTGCTCAAACAAAGTGCACCAGGGTACTATTAAAACACACTACATGTTTGGTTTGAACTCGCGCTTAGAGAGTTCAAATGTCCAGAGGAATTTCTGAGAAAATCGCTGATTAAACACACTTTTTTTTTCTTTTAAATATCTGTATTGACAAATGCATTATGAGTACATGCAGTGAACCTGTGGAGGAGACTGTGAACTGAAGGGTGTCATAAACTGGCCTTCCTCAGACTTGGATAAGCAACGTAAAAATGTGTGTGTGATGAATATGAATTCTTCTGGATGATTCAGCTCTGGACTTTACCCTTCCTCTGTCCATGAGCCCCCCCCCCCCCCCTTCACATCTCTAAATCATTACCCACTGCTTACATAATGATCTGATGCATTTCTATGAAGTGAACTGTCAGACATTCAGAGAACACTGTCTGTCTCCTTCTGTTCTTGAGGACAGAAATCTCCCAATTCAGTATTTATGATTCAGAACACAGAAATGCAGAATCACTGAAGTGTGGCGTGAAATGTTGATCTGTCACTGAGAAGCCTCTGACTGACGGCTGGCGGGGATTTCACAAGTTCAGTCTGAGCAACAAGTCCCCAGCTGGGTTCAGAGCTCAGCGCAGGAATGTGCTTGTCAATGAGTCACAATGTTGATCTGTAACCTTGGGTTGTTAACTGTGTGTGGTGTGTGTGTGTGTGTGTGTGTGTGTGTGTGTGTGTGTGTGTGTGTGGGTTGTTAACTGTGTGTGGTGTGTGTGTGTGTGTGTGTGTGTGTGTGTGTGTGTGTGTGGGTTGTTAACTGTGTGTGGTGTGTGTGTGTGTGTGTGTGTGTGTGTGTGTGTGTGTGTGTGTGTGTGTGTGTGTGTGTGTGTGTGTGTGTGTGTGTGTGTGTGTGTGTGTGTGTGTGTGTCTCATTCATTCAGAGAGTGTCTGCAGCGGTGATTCATGCACGCTGGAGAAAAACAGTCTGGTCTCGTCCCACGATTGGCGGATTTTACTCAGGTTCATTGGGTCTAATGTGCGTGTGTGTGTGTGCGCGTGTGTGTGTGTCTGTCTGTGAGACTCAGTGTGAACTGTGCATGTAAATATTTTCTGTGCTATTCACAACAGCCTAAAATGTTGAATCACACACAGCGATAATGAATTGCCTGTAGTCTGAACTCATTCGTGCTAGACTGCTCTTACTCATACCCCCCTGTGTGTGTGTGTGTGTGTGTGTGTGTGTGTGTGTGTGTGTGTGTGTGTGTGTGGTAGGGAGCGTCTCACCTCACAGTGGTAACAATCCACATGGTAGTCCTTGTCCATAGAAACGACTCGAATGGTTTCCTCAGAGCCCTGTTAGCACAAACACACTCAGTCAGGTGTCTCATTGTAGTGATTATATTACATTGCATTTAGCAGACATTCATAGAGACTTACAGTAAGTTATGGTCCAACAAAAGCAGGTTTACACCAATTGATATGCACATGGATTTAAGGTAAACATTAGGGCTGTACCAAGTTGTTTGTTCAGATTTGGCTGTTCCTTTAGACACTTCAACTATGTATTTCTTTACATGTTCTCCAACGACTGTGAGCCTGGTAGTTTGCTCAGGGTATCAGGGGTCTACATTTCGGTCTGGTCTCCAAACTAAGTCAAACACGCGCAGAAAAAAGTATGGGAAAAGTCCACCAAGTTCTTCCCTTAAAAACCACGTCCATAAGAAGCTACCAATCCCAGTTGGGCGCCATTTTGCAGCAAAAATAAAAAGGAAGAAGGAGACACTAATAATAAGGAAAGAATGGTTGGGGAGACGCGGAAAGCAATCATTGTTTGTACAGCTTAGAGAGAGTTCAATTCAAAATAAAAATTGCGCTTGTCAAGCTATTTAATCCTGGATTTCCATAATCGGCACATATCGCGTTTTTGAAAATACACAAATACTGACAAGCCAAATGTCCTCGGATCTGGGGCTTTTGTTGACAATGACCGAAAACTCTCATTAGGTGTCCGTGCTGAATGAAATGATGTTTAGTGTAAACGGTTACCTGTGCTGGGAGGATGGGCTGGTTGCAGGAGGCACACTTGGGAGCAAATACCCTGTTGTAAAAGAGACACAGATATATATATCTATAAAGTGAAGACACCTTATTTCACACAGGTTAAAACTAGTTTAAAAAAGTAGATTGAGAACCATACATTTTGTGTTTAACTGCTGTCTTTTTTTGTGCTGAACATATTCAGTGATACAGTAAATATATGTGTGTCCTCTTACGTGTGGTAGTCTTTGACACAGTAGATGTTGTTCTCAACGTCCACGGTGAAAGGCACTCCGTCTAAACCCTCTTTACAAACCACACAGCGGAAACAACCCGGATGGTACGACTTTCCCAGTGCCTGCAGGATCTACACACACGATAAGAAAAAACACACACAAGATAACGGTAAGACGTGTGTAACCGGTGTTGATTCGCGGTGTCTGCGTTGTGTTTTGTTTTGGATGAAAATGAGTCAGAATATCGTTGAGGCTATCTCCGTTTATTCACGGACTGATAACAGATATACAACAAGTCGTTATTACATTGTTGTTTCCCTCACACGGACTCCTCTCACGTGGAGCATTCACAAGAAGGGAAGAGGAAAACAATATGAAGGCGGGAAGTTGAAAACTCATCTCTTTCGACTCCACTTCGAGCGATAGAATTACTAACAAAGCACTTATATACTAATAAAGGGCTGGCTTATCTAAAGCCAGTTGAGTAGCACTTGAAATGTTTGGCTCTATGAAGCCTGATGTACTTATATGATTCTGTTTTCTTCAAGGTTGTGTCTTCCTGGTCGAATGTACTTATTGTAAGTCGCTTTGGAGAAAAGCGTCAGCTAAATGCAATGTAATGTAAAGTCCCCACAAAAGTAATCTTCTGAGTACAGTGACTACATTCTGGAGGTTCCGCCCACTGATTCTAGACCTAGTCAGGTATTGAATGTTTAATACATAAAGAACACGTAATTATTAAATACAAAACACTGAATATCCTAGTAACGTTGCTTATCATAAAAACAATAGTGCCTGAAGAAGATGTGTCAATTAGAAACATTAGACATGCATTGAGTCTCTTCTTTACACTTCCTGTCTGATGAACTCTTACCATCTCCATGATGAGGTGACCGCACACAAAACACTTATCCGCCGTCTGCTGGAAACCAGAGTACTGAAGGAAAAGACACAGGAATTATTATTATTATCTTCAGCAGTTAGTAAACTTTTAGGCTTATTTCATAGCGGGTATATGCTGGCAGTTTGCCCCCTGATGCACGAGCTTGTTTCAGGGCAGGACTGATCTATAGAGGGTGCTGCTGCGCTCTTCACATCAACACGAACAGGATTTCTTTCAGGATCTTCTGTCTCTCAGCTGACATGTTCATCAGGCATCTCCACAACGCATGTTTCAAAACCTAGTCCTCCATCATATTCCATATAGACAGGTTGTAGGATACATGTCAGCTAGGGCATGGATAAAGTTTTACTCCAATTTAGACTTGTCTGTACATTTTTGGATTGATCGTTCAACGTGAAAGCATGCAAGGAAAACAAGTTATCTCTTAACTCACAACTAGGTAACTCGGGGTGAGCGATGTATATCTAAATCATCAATTTCTCTTAAAGGTGCCCTATTATACTGTTTGTCATCAATATATTACAGGTCTCAGATTTATACAGAACCTGTCTCTGATTGGCTGAAACACCAAACAGATCATTGCAGCATTACCCATAATCCCCTCTGTTTCAGCCCTGTTTCAAAAGTGCTGATTCTCTGTCTGTTACTTTAGATGAAAACAAGGAGCCCCTCCCCACGCCCCTCTGAGAGAGATTTGGTTACAAAGAACTCAATGGTGCTCTAGGAGGAGATTCAGGTGATAAGGAGGGGGGGGGGGGGTTACCTTGGTTGCTGATTGGCTAATGGTTACACAAGACAACACATCATTATGACATCATAAAGTGGCCAAAATCTGATCAGCTCATTTTCAGACAGGTTTTTATATAAATGGATCAAAAAGAGAGAATCTTTGTTCCTGAAACTTTCAGAGTCTCTTTCCACAGAGGGGACACATGTTGATGTAGAAGAGACATGAAGAAGAGGGGACACATGTTGATGTAGAAGAGACATGAAGAAGAGGGGACACATGTTGATGTAGAAGAGACATGAAGAAGAGGGGACACATGTTGATGTAGAAGAGACATGAAGAAGAGGGGACACACGTTGATGTAGAAGAGACATGAAGAAGAGGGGACACACGTTGATGTAGAAGAGACATGAAGAAGAGGGGACACACGTTGATGTAGAAGAGACATGAAGAAGAGGGGACACATGTTGATGTAGAAGAGACATGAAGAAGAGGGGACACATGTTGATGTAGAAGAGACATGAAGAAGAGGGGACACATGTTGATGTAGAAGAGACATGAAGAAGAGGGGACACATGTTGATGTAGAAGAGACATGAAGAAGAGGGGACACATGTTGATGTAGAAGAGACATGAAGAAGAGGGGACACATGTTGATGCAGAAGAGATATGAAGAAGAGGATGTTGCATAATAGGTGACCTTTAAACCCTGAGTGCAGGAAGTCTTAATGAAGGTGACCATCTGCAGCTCAGAAGCCTTCAGGGTCGTGACCTGATGACTTGGGGGCAAGTGGATGAACAAGGCTACCAGGTGGAGGTGGTGATGGGAAAATCTACCATCTGCCACCCCCTCCCCACCCCTAAAGACCCCCCCCCCCAGAGGACAGGCCAGACTAGTCGAGTCTTAGCTTCATCGCAGCGGAGGAAGAAGATTAGTCTCATCCCGTCATCTGAGCTCCAGCATCAGATAATCACTGATGATCGCTAAGTGCAACAACAGGAAGTGCTTCCCCAACAGGTTCAAATGTGAGGGGAAGCTGCTGAGAAACAGGAAGTATCGACAACGTGGTGATGTTGTTCGGATGATGAAGCTCGTATGTGTGAAAGGAAGCTTTGTTATGCTACTTCCTCCATGTTTGGACATCAATCTGTCAACATCAAGACACTTTGATGCCACTAATCTATCAATAATATGATAGCATAATAATGCTAGCACACTCTTTTAAAAGACACATTTGCCTTGAATTATTTTTGTAGATTTGTTTGTATAAATGGCACTTTAATAAATATTGTGTTAAAATATAATATAACTTAGATACACAGTATTTAACAACACTCCTCCCTCTTATTCAGAAAAAGTTCTTCCCACACCTGAGCTGCGAAAGATAAGTAATTAAAATAAATGTTTGAGGTCGTGTCCATACATCGTACGATAATCTTTATTTCCCACAGCTCCTGAAGGCACCATGAGAGCCATGTAAACAGCAGCAGACGGACCTCCAGCTGTCGTCCTGTAAGAGCCGGGCAGCTTGAGGGGTAATTGAGCTCCTTGGGGACATTTTGGGGAAATGTGTGTGAATTGGAGGGGTGGTGCTAAAGTCCTAATTATAGCTGCCATTATGTCCGTTTCCTCTGGAGGGACGCAGCCTGAAATCCTGATCCTTAAACCCCCTGGCCTCCCAACACCAAATCAATAACCAGGAACACTTACCAGGAAATCTTCCTCACAGTACACCTTCCCGTTGACGTTGTAGAAAGCTTTCCCTCGAAGCCTCCGACCTGAAAGGGAAAGACAACAAAGTCAAATCTACATATTCAAGAAGGTTTGAGACATACTGTGTTGCAGCAGAAACACTACAGGTTTCATAATAACAGTTACATTTAGGACTTTAAAGTATTTTTTAATGAAACTTTGAAGGGAATTTATGATGAAATGTAGTTTTTCCACTATCAGGACGTTTGTGACAAAATGTTTCTTTTATTTTTGTTGGAGTTTAACCCTTCAAAAACAACTTTTCTCCTGCTCCACACACACACACACACACACACACGACACACACGACACACACACACACACACACACACACACACACAACACACACACACACACACACACACACACACACACACACACACACACACACACACACACCACACACACACACAGCACACACACACACACACACACACACACACACACACACACACACACACACACACACACACACACACACACACACACACACACACACACACACACATCACACACACACACACACACACACAACACACACACACACACACACACACACACACACACACCTGTTTTATTGGAGTTATATCCACTAAAGAAGGTTAAGTTAAAAAGACTTTAATCTTTCTGGTCATTTATTAGACTGAGTTATAAAATATGACTAAAACATTCAGAAATCCATTCTTAAATCTCAAAAGAAACTATGAATATACTTTGAATGAAACTCGCATTTTGAGTGATTTTATTCAGATTAGAATTTTGATCCAAAGCCTCGGTGCTGTGAATGATTAAGACTTCCTGAGTGGAGGCTTTGCAGCATATGAAAGGCAAACTCAGAGGGATACATGTCACACAAAGCACACCGAAAACTCCACTTCTGACTCAGTGAAAATACATACTGTATACCTCTCTCTAATCCCCTCTACTTCACCACAGCAGCAGGTCGGTGTGGAGCAGATGGCTTCACTATCCAATGCAACATCCTGTCGTCCAATCACTATCACCATTGATCCCAACAGGAATCCATTCACAGCCCATACACAATCAATACAGCAGGCTGCCTTCCAAACCTCCCCCCCCAAAGTATCTCTCCTCTCCCCTTCCCCACCATTGTGCACAAGCAGAGCAACAATAGCAGGCTGCAGGGAGGATGTCCCTCACTCTGACGCACACATTAACACCAGATAGACACCGATAAATCCATTTCCATTTGATCACCATGAAGACACAACGCCAAACGTTTGGAGCGACTATTGGCGTTTCTCATCGTTCCACATCATGTCAAATAAATGCTGATTTTGGGCAACTTCTACTGGTCTGAAATCTCATGAAACAATCAGTAGTATATGCCAGCATTTACAATGTGATTGAATGGAATAAAATATGTGCAGTAATAATACAAAAAAACAGATATTGTGTGAATTGTGTGCATTAACTGCTATTGGCATTTCTCAACGTTCCAGCATGATTTTTTTGGCAACTTCTACTTCACGTTGGTGGTCTGAAATGTTGTGAAACAATCAGTAGTTGCAGTGCTCCGCCTCACAGCAACACACCACAGCGGGAGTAGCTTCCAGCTCTGAGCATGAGGGCTGAATTCCTCCGGGTGAGCCTTCATTCATCAGAATCCAAGTCTGAATCCAATCTAAAAAGGAAATTCTGCTGCAGCCCCCCCGCCATGCACCCCTCGCAGCTCGCCCATTCAAATTCATTTAGCAGCAGCGGTGTCTCTCTGGCAGCGCGATGACTTCACCGAGCCTGGCAGACCAAGTGCAGGGATCTCATAAATCTGCTGGATTAGTCAGATTTAATTGTCATCCCCGAAGCCACCATTGATTTTATGGATGTCCCAAAAAGACATGCCCCCCCCTCCCACACTCCCAACACTGCTGAAATGTATGCAATCGCTGTATTTCACACACAAACACCGTGTCACAACGCCAATACATTAACACCCACATAAATGGCTGCAGCGGCCGAGGAATGCTGGCACACAATAGGTGAGACTTTTAAGACTTTGAGACTAAGGAGCAATTAGCATTTTGGTAGCGTGGAGCAAAGAGAAAAGCAGGATGCAGCAGGAAGAACTCTTAAGAGAGAGACACTGACTTTAAAACTTTGCAGGGTCCTGCATCATATTCAGGATACACTCGTTGCAGGATAGGCACGAACTGGATCAAAACAAATCTATTAAAAGCTCCAAGTCATTTTACAATTCAGCTTCAAAACCCAACAGATCCTTTCTAGGCACAAAAGTGGGAGCTTTTAATACGGCTTGCAGATCTTCCGTCTTATTCCACTTTAAGGTGCCGAGGTAAGGTAGAAAAAAAGACCCTGTGACACATCAGTACTTCACCAACAAAGTGATCAATTACCAACCCCAGTGCAACTTTCAAATCATGAAGAAATTGTTATTTTTATCGCACATTGAAAAAAAATAAACAGGGCAAATTCTTGATTAATTGCAGGAAATAGGGACCAGGTTTAACAACAGGAAGGCTTTACCAAAACAGTGCATTCTTTCTAAACCTGACTTGCTTCTGCAAAAACAGTTGCATGCTTTGAAGATTATTCTTTGAGGAGGTTTTGTGAGGTTTTGTG